CAGTCCAATTGAAGCAGAGGCTGTTATGCGTTGCTCGTGGGGCATTGAATTAGCCCCTGACTCAATGGGGGGATACAGCATATCGTGCTTTTCTTCCATTTTTATTTTCTACACTTTTTCTTTTACACATACACTTACATAAGTCCACATAGGTTATTTTTTAATTAGGTTAAAAATATTGCCACTTTTGAACTTTAGCTCATTGCACTTAAATACTTTAAAAATATCCGCACGTGAAACAAACTCCTCTGCTTCGCTTCCGATTCAAGACTAAAACTAAAAATGTTAGGTTTTGTTTGGAGCTTCGATTGAATGGAGTGGTTTACACAATTTTTTAATTAGTTTTTGTTTTTATTTTTGTTTTCGTTTTTGTTTTTGTTTTGGCTTGTGTTGTTTTTATTGAGTTGTGTTATTTGTAACTTGTTCAGCTTGACGTTGGCACCGCTTCAGCTGATTTCCTAATGAAATATAAAACTGCAGCGAACACAGCTGAAAAATTAAGCGATCCAACAACAAAAAGTATCTGCGTTTCTTAAAGTTGGTGTCAGATCTCACGGAATGTTTGCTTAGCTAATAGCTCTCACGTAAGTGAATTGCTCATGTGAGTTGTTGGTCTTTGGGAAGATGGGTCGGGGAGTGAAATGAATTGGAATTCTCTGAAATCAGCTATGGAAAAATGGAAGCAAAATATGGTGAAAAAAATTTAACTGATAAGATTTTTAAGAAGAGGAAACGCAAATAGATAATGAAATACCTCATAGGAATAATAGATAAGGAATAAACACTGAGAAGAAGAATGTTGTTGCATCTGTGAGTTAGTATATTGAAAGTATTATTTAAAAAAATTTTTTTTTTATTCATCTTTGACTAAAACAGTGTAAAGAAAGAATTATTTTTTATTATTACATCGTTTTTCAAAGAGATTATATGGTTTTGCTTCATTGATTAAGCTGAGCAGATTGATTAGGGAATGATTTTAATTTATAAAACAGATCTATTATCGTGATGGTATAAATTTATAAGATGTATTATAACTTAGCGAAGAAAAGTTCAAAAAAAAATGTCAAAAAATATCGATATAAGATATTTCATCCAAAATGGTTATATGTGTGAGATGGCAGAAGACAACTTAATATATGTAATTCATTTACATTATAGCTTCTACATCTAATTTTCTAAAGGCGTATTTTTTATTGTATTATTGCATCATACTTTTTTTAACCTAAATGATAGTAAAATTTCTTAAGCAATTGAAATCAAGTATATCTAAATACAGGTCCACGTATCCCTTAAAAAAAGTGTTAGATCTAAAATTTCGCGGAATGTCCGAAATATTGAATGGTTGAAATATTATTTAAAAAATTCATGGAATTAGTTTAGAAAGAAATCAAATATTGATTTATCATTTTACACTCTCAATTAAATTTATTACTCATATATATATAACCACAACACAAAAAGCCTGATGGAATCTTCAATCAATTTTGCCCTGTAAATTTAAGTGTCATAGCTTGATATTCGCATCTTCGTGTGGAAGATTCGCATCAACGATTTAGGGGCGTTCCGTACTACCAACTGGCGACAGCAAGCAACTGATCCAGCTGGCTGGCGTAGGATACTCGATGCGCATAAAAAAGACTCACGTCTGTAATGGGCAACTAGGTCAGTAAGGTTGAAAATTATGAATGCTATTTCGGCAAGATTACGTCGGATTCGGTATGTTTTTCCGATTTTTTACTATTTTTCAATTGGAAAACGATACCTTTACACACTGCTATCATTACTCGCGAATTTTCGACTAGAAGATTGGTATGAATATTACCGAACAGTCAACTGACTTGATTTGGCTCTCTATGATATCTTCCGGTTTGAATTACTTAAGAAACCATGGTTTCTTGGTTAAACAAAAATCCAATTCTAAGAATTGGTTTGGGAATTGGATATAGAGCTGGCATAAAAACGTTTTAGTCAATTTAGAATATTTTGAAGAGGACAATCGATAATCCGGAATAAGCTTGGGTTTTTAATATATGAATTCCTGAACCTTTTTGTTCGAGGTGGTATTTATAAAGTGACTATAGAATATAAATGGGGGTTGAAGATTGGTGTGATCTAAAAATAAACCACTATTAAAAAAAATAATTTTATAGCATTATATGTATAAGATAGGTTATGGAATGTTATGAGACTATAAGAAAGTAATGGGGGTGGGGGTTAGATTAGTATGGTCCAAATAAAACTAGCGGTTAAAAAGAATTAATGTTAAATACTATTATGACAGAGAGTATTATGTGACTATACAAGTCTAACACGGGTGTAAGGTTGATGTGGTTTTTGCCCTATATTTTCTAGTGCACACAGTTGAGAGGAAAAGTATTATAGCATATTTTGGATTTCTGCATACGTAAAATCTCCAATTCACAAGCATGAATGCGATTTTTATAAGTATATGTCGTTTTAATTGGTTTCAGGTTGGCTGTTCAATAAGTGTTAAGAGTGCGTGCTAATAAAATTATCTGACAGTTATAATTTGAATTATTAAGTTCTCTGTCTATAGTTGTGATTCATGTTTGTGCTGGTGCGCCAGGTTTTCTAGAGCCTTAGAGGTTCTATCTGAGTGCTGTTCTTGCAATATGGTTCGGAGATCTTCGAAGTGAATGGTCAATCCATCATCCGTCAACCAATCTGAACTGGAATGGTTTCTTGCTGTGTTTCTTGCTGGCTACACAAGTTTTCATTTCTTATTCTTTCAGGCCATCTTATGCCAAATATTCTGCGAAAGCACTTGTTTATGAAGGTCTGTATTTTTGACTCAGTGCGGTTGGAAGCTTTCCATGTTTCATAGCCATAGAAGCGAACAGATTTTAAGATTGATTCGAAGATGAGGAGTTTTGTTTTATGAAATATTTGGCACGATATCCATATATTTCTCAGTGTACCGAAGGTAGAGTTTGCTTTGTTATGTTTAGGTAGTACAAACATATATTTATATTTGCTTATGAAAATATAATAAAAAATATCAAAATCATTCAGGTCTGCTCCGTTCCAATGTACATCTTACAGGAATGGCGGTAAAAATCAATCACGTTTAATTTATTTATAATTTTAATTTTATTGAAATAAGATCTGTATAAGATAAACGGTCATCTGTATAAATGAAAAACGGTCATATTGTTTAGTATTTCCGATTTTCTGAGTCCAAAACCAAATAGTGTAAAATCTAAAATTTTACATTATAAATATTAGTTAGTTATTTTTTATATTTAATAAAATACTCTAATCGTTTCCAAATTTTCGTTTTTATTATGGATTCAACAGCTTTGGTGCCTGAATGTGAATTGGATTGCTTTATTAAGGTTCGCTATAAATCGCAAAAAAAAAGGAAAATAAAAAACTTCTAATAAAAAGGATTATATATAATTTCTGATTTTGAAGTTAAAATAAGTTTAATTAAAAAATCAAGAACTTATTCTATTTTCACGCTATTGGTGTTACCTTGGATTTTTTTATATATGCAACTATCTGATCCATAAATTCTTCAAAAGTTGGTTGTACTGTCATATTGTAGTCATACTAAGGAAATGATTTGTTGTGTCCCAAAATTTATAGTTGATTGCTATATTAAGTGGATTAATAAATTTGTAAGAAATTTAACATGTCTATTTTTACCTGCACGTCCTCAGTGTTGGATTGGTGATAGTTCTTAAAATTTCTCCTTCCTGCAATAAGTACTGTACATATAAATGGTATCGTCATAACTAAATTAATTATGGCCCCCTTAATCATATCGGTGAGAATTATGTTTTCAGTGCTCAGATAGCAAGTTTTGTCACATACAACAGGTAAATGTGACAATCTGTATAACAACAGAACCAAAATAATTGGCAATAGTATTTTGGGCCACATATTGTTGAAGATCTTTTAGAATTTAGAACTGCTGTTTGACGTATATATAATTTTATGAATATTATTTTAAACTTATTTTTCTTGAAATATCAAAAATTAGATTATAAAATTGGTTACTAGTTTGAATTTAGTTTAAAATATTTATAGTGACTATTATTTTTTTATGAATAATAAATCAAAAAGTGTTTTATGTTTTTAGTGACAGTTTTTTATATATGTTTAATTGTTTGGGGCAATCGACTATGACCTCCTTGTTTGACTGGCATCACTAAGTACTAAGGTTTGTATAAATATCATTTAAAAGGAACCAGTACTAGTATATAACTTGTTTCTATAAATTACCATCGACACAGTGATTTAGATCTGCTCATTGTCGACGAGATCGTACAACTGTCATTCGAATTTCCACTCTACGCTACATGTTCAAGGTTTCTTAATGAAGAAGTCTAAAATGTGAACTAATATTCCATAATTATTCTCAGAGCATTTGCTACTAGAAATTTGAGTGAAACATACGAAGAACGAGAGACAATGAACTAATTTGTGTGATACTCGTAATTTTGTTGATTGAATACTTCAAAAGTACAATAAATCGTGTTTATATTCGTGTCAGATTAACTCAGTATCTTCGGGGAATGCATTCTAATGAGGCTCTATGTGTACAGTGTACACTCAATATTTTTATGCTCATCCATATTCTTTTTAAGGTGAATGTGAAAGTGAAAGAATGTATGAACCTAATTAAATTGTTACTAATTAATATATACCTTGCATATTTAAACCACCATTTAAAGAGTAAGATATGATTTCTTCAAATTATGTACTCACAAAATTGCTTCGCCTAAAGTAGGAAACTCTTGTCATTATGAGAAGGAACTAGCCCTTATCACGTCTATAACAAAGAATATAATTGTTAATTCGAAAACGACTTTTTGAATGTTTCACTATTTTGTAAACCCTATCAAATAGTAGGGTTAAGTATATGTAATGAGTATTAGATATTGAATGTGATATTGAATATATTTTTATTACCTTCACCCGTTTAATTTCTGAGAATTTAATTACAATTTAAAAAATTTCTTAAAATAAATAATTATTAAATTATTTTTAATTTGATTTAATAAAATATTTATAAAATTCCAGATATTCTCTGTGTTTTTAACTCATTGCGTATATTGTGCTTCCTTGGGGTATCCGTGCTTTAAAGATTTCCCGTAGTGGTAACTTTTGCAACAACCTCAATAGTTATATTGTTGGGTCTTAAAAAAAGTATTTGCAATTTATAAAATCCAGAGTTCAAATATGGCCAATTAGTTGTGTTTGCGCCGCATTTATTTAGTTCGAATCGTCGTTTTGTCAATGGAGCCTTAAACTCTGTTTTAAACTGTGGCGAATTCGGCGCACATTTACTAAGCCCTTCCATCAAATACAGTTTATAAACATTATTCATATAGTACTCCAGATTATTGGGTGGCATTTTAATTGCAGTTGGGATATATCTATCATTTCCTGAAACACTTTTCAACACATTCACTTCTATTATATAATTATTTGACATGTCCTGTTTAATATCTATAAAACCGTTTAATCCATATTTACCACGAGATATGCGATATATACTTAATTTCGAGTCAAACACATTGGGATTGGATGTATGAAAATAAACACTGAGCGGTTCATAAGTCCATTGAACCTAGAAAATATAAATTATACCTGTATTTAAAGTTTCCACAAAATTATTGGTGAAGTCACAATAAAATGTACCTTTCCAAGGGATGTTTCACAAAAGAGTAAACTCCACAATACGAAAACAATAGTCCTCTTCATGGCTTATTTATTTCGTACTAAGTTTAAAATCTTTGTTCCGCAATTTATATTAAAATTTTTCATATAATAATATAATAAAGTGTGAATATTAATTTTAATGTTTTGTGAATTAATCGATCTATTTGATTCTGGCATGTGAAATAACAATGAATGTACATGAGGTTGTAACAACGTCCGATAACGTCTATAAAAACTAATGTTAGGAGAAATTTTATTACCTCAAATTCTCATTGAATAATTTAATTAGTTTATTTGTTATTATTTCTTTACATGAAATATGCACTCGATTGTTAAATATTTGTTTTATAAATAACGATTTAAACACAAGTCGCTTAAATTAATCCTTATTTCAGACTTACGGAAAGTATTCAGTGCTTGATTCCTCAAAAGGCATATATTCACAATTGGTTTTTAAATTAATTAACAGATTTGTGATACATTCATCTCTTATGTTTCCTATAATTTTGATAATAATTTTATAGAAAGTTTTTTGAAAAAGTACTTATTCTTATTTTTATTTGGATTTGGATGAATTCTTATTCTAGGTGTTACAATTATTTGTACAAGGTACAAGGAAGAATATAATAACTGATGTTTTTGGTTCATCGGTTTGGTTGGAATTTATGATCTGGATCCTAATCTAATAAGTTTGGATTTAGTATACCCTTCTAAATAATTGCAACGCTAATTCTATATTGAGTATATATTTTTAATAGTTTACGTTATTCAAAAACGGGCCTATAGCAGTTTTCTTTGTTAATTGATTTTGTAAAAAATAAATAACGTTTTTAAATTTATTTAATAATTTTTTGTCTTCATTGATATATATAATTTGTTTCTTTTATATAAACTTGGTTATGGATTCGTGTTCTTAATGAAAGGGGTCATGCATATTCATATACCTAAGTCATATCAAGACCATGGTGCGTGATCCCACATTACACCCTTCTTGTTTTTCATATTGATTACATTCTTGTTTGATCTGTGCCGATGAGTTGACTGACACTAGGTCAGTGTGTCTGTAAACGGAGGTCGTCGTAAAATTCATTTTGCTTCATTTTCATTTTGGGTAAAATGAATCTCTGCCCTGATCGACTTTTCCTTATCCGCAATTCGGGGGTTTGAAATATAAACCAATCAAATAAAAATACTAATAAAACAGGAAGCTCGGGAAGCATTAGACACTGTGTGTTCTTAATATGGCACCCACCGTGTTTTTGGGCGGTAATAAAATAGTGGCCACAAATAACACTTCTGCTATTTTCACTCGTTCACACGGTCACGCCTTCTTCGACGAGAAGTTCTAAGGAACTCAGCGTTCCTAAACTCGTCGAAAGATATAAAAATATTTCGGCTACGTCCGAGTCCCTTAAGTTCAGAATTGTCTGGGCTAAGCAGGTCTTCAATGTCTCTTAGGATAATAAACAGAAACCTGTATCAAAGCGGCAGCGCGCATTAGATGAGTCAAATTCAAAACCCAATGCTAAAATAGCAATGATTGAGCTTAAGCTCATTGATGTGTACAGCGACGTCCGAAAGGACTTCCTTGATGAAATTATAACCCATCTTGATAGCGAACAATTTCAAAGTCATGCGAAGTTGATTGTCTGCGCATTTCGGCGTTTTGTAAATCTTTATCGCAATGCCATCTCCAGAATTGATGAGGTATGGTCAATCGACAAAATCAAGGTTGTTGTAAAGAAACAGATCCCTAGCCAACCAAGAGCGTATTCTTGGTTTCTTGCCGAACCGTCTGATTTTCAACAGATTCTGAAGCTTATTCGGTTGGAACACTATGACCTTAGAACTGCAACGTGAAAGATCACGAATCTAGAGGAAGCCAAAGGTAATTATAGATCGGTCAGTTTTTGATTGACATAGCATCTTTGGCTTCTTTGGCAAGAACTAGTCTCATTCATCACAATGAGAGTTTATAAAAGGGATACGGAGTAAATTTCTCCTAATGTGAGGTGTCTAGCTGTAGTACTGCAAATTATTGCTGAAGTGGGCGATAATAGAACTGGTAAGACTTAAAAATCGGAAGATAGATTGATAGAGACGGATGTATAAAGAAAATTATATAAATATATGATATAAGTGAATTTGTTAATAAAAAAGTTTCGCTTTAAAAGAAGCGCTGACTCTGAGCTTCAAATTTGGCAGTTCGATTCCTGTTACTTGCAGTCTCAAAAAACTAGAATTATTAGAATTATTGGCTCAAAAACCTATTAAATATTTTATTATTTTGGAAACCCATCAAATGATCGGTGTAAGTACATGTAATGTACGTTTTATATTGAAGGTGGTATCGAATATATTTTTATTACCCACAGTCGCTCAAATTCTGAACATTTTATCACAATTTATTAAATTTCACAGAATAAATAATTATTAAATTTTGATTGACTTTAATAAATTAATTAAAATTTCATATATTTTCTATGTTCTTTTTTAAATAAAAACTCATTGTGTGTATTGTGCTTCCTTAAGGTATCCGTATTTTAAAAATGATCCGTAGTGGTAGTTTTTGCAGTAATCTCCCAACTTATATTGTAGGGCTTAACAAAATGTATTTTCACTTTATAAAATCCAGTTTGCACATATGGCCAATTAGTTGTATCTGGTAGGCATTTATTTAGTTCGAATCGTCGTTTTGTCAATGGAGCCTTAAACTCAGTTTGAAACTGTGGCGAATTCGGTGCACATTTGCTTAATGTGGTCATCAAAGTTCTTTTGTACACAGTATTCATATAATTCTCCAGATAAATAGATGGCATTTTAATTGGAGTTGCAATATATTTGTCATTTCCTGAAATACTTCTCAACACATTCATTTCTATCATATAATCATTTGACAAGTCCTGTTTAATATCTATAAAACCGTTTAATCCATATTTACCACGAGATATGCGATATACACTTAATTTCGAGTCAATCACATTAGGATTGGATGTATAAAAAGAAACATCGATTGGTTCAAAAGTGTTATTAAACTATAAAATATAATTTTTTTTTGCATTTAAAGTTCCTTAAAAAATTATTGGTGTTTTCGAAATAAAATTTACCTTTCCAAAGGACGTTTCACAAAGTAGTAAACTCCACAATAGAAAGAC